GGAAAATAAAAATGAAAGGATGGAAACAATTATTTCATGAGATGTTGTGTCGAGGGCTCTGTTATGTATATAAATATACATATGCATATTATACATACGTACATACATATATATGAACATATATATTTTTCTGGAATAATAAAGAGAGGAAGAGAGAGAGAGAGAGGGAGAGAAAAAAAAATAATTGCAAAGACGTATCCGACCTCGTGGACGCAATAAAAATTCACTATAATCGATTTATGCATGGGCATCAGGGTGTAGTTTAATAGAAAGAGAGAGAGAGAAAGAGACGAGAGAAAGGAAGAAAGAAAGAGAGCGAGAGAGAGCGCGAGAGTAAGAGTCTATAATGTTAATAAAGAGATGACTATTTTTTTGAGAGAAACAAACACTAGTAGAGAGAGGAAAAAACTTCAAGAGCTTCGGTGAGAAGCAGAGAAAAATTGGAACTTTCGGTTCGCCTGTTTTTCAATTTTTTTTCGTTTTCTTAAACTCTGCCTATGGGTTGAAATATTCTTTTTTTTTTTTTTTTCTCTCTCATGGAGAAATTTATCGAAAGGAAAGTTTTCGTGAATTCTACACGATACCGAGTACACAGCGAATTGTTTTGCATTTAATTGTACTTGTATATCAATAGTGGCATTGACTATGTAGAACGTAGATCGTGTGCGATTCATGGGAACCGTTAAATGGCGCGAAATTTGAATTGCAATCTGCAATAAGAAATATTGTAGTACAAATAGTGACACTAGAACGACGCAAAAATTCGTTTGAAGAGAACGCCAGAAGTGAATTTTTCTTTCGATAAAAGTATCTTTCTTCTTTGAAGAATGATTTAGAGAAAAATGGAGAATCACTTTTTGTGGTTTCGAATGAAGTATGAGAGAATAATGGATTGCAAACGAATCGTGGGGAAAAAGGGGCAAAACGTACACAGACCTTCTCTTGATAAGATCGTTTACACATAAAAGAAAACTGAGATCACCCGCTGCATGTACATAGACCGGAAGACCGCTGGTAGCCATATTGTTATTCGCGATTAATTGGAACTGACTTGGTCGAGTCGACTGATGTTCTTTCTCTTCTTTACTTTCTCTCACTGGACACCGTGAAGCATCGAAAGAAAAATTATCCTCGAACGAGAAAAAAAAGGCTCTTTGCATTTTGTAAATTAATTTTTTTCTCTTTCAATGTTATCGATTATTTACTAATATCATTATTATTACTATTATTATTATTACTATTACGGTTAAGTATGAATTTTTTTATTGTTACGTTTAACAGCATTACTACGTTACGTCGTTATGGTGAATAATTTTTTTTTTCTTTTTTTTTTTTTAAATTATACAGTATGTACAGAAGTTTTTAACCGATTTGTGAATTCTTTTTGTAAATTTTAAGAGGTAGAAAAGATGGCGTGGTTACGCGGCGTTGCTCCGACCGGAAGTGAGAGAAAGAGAAAGAGGGAGAGCCCTCTGTCTGTTGTATATTATTTTTATTTCCACCTTTTTTACACGAAACAAAGCGTGATCGGTATTGACCGTGCTATGTATGGATGATATGTTCCAATATAGAATAAATCTTTCAACAAATACGTCTAGATTGTTGATTAAATTCCTCCTCATTTTGTGAAGTGATATTGCACAAGCGATACGTGAAAGTACAATAGAACTTCATCACGAGCTACTGTTCTTACACTGTTTAAGGAGGATTTACGTTTCAGTATATACAATCCAGTGTAATTAGGAGAAAGATGGAAAAACTGTGGTGGGGGGAACTTCTCACTTTGACAGTCTGCTTTCTGCTGTAATGGATTTCTTCGAAGAAAGCTCTTTTCGATATTTTCCATTCAATGGTGAGTGATTTGCTTAAATGTTGTGTAGTAAAATATAGGCGGTAGAGTTTTTTATTTTTAGTTCCAGTAATGCATGAATTTGTTTGTAATTTTAGTTATAAATATAATTAAAAAGTGCATTTTAAAAGATTGGAAAATATCGAATTTTAAAATTGCATTTTATTTTGGTAATAATTTTTGGAATTTTATTCGATTTTGAATGTATTCTGTGCTGTAGTATTTAGTCTGCTAATAACTTTGATAATAATGGTTTATTAACAAATTAATGTGAGAGTTTTTATGTAATTTAGTTTTATGTTGGTAATTATTTGCTTCATATTTTAATTCGTTTCCATGTGATATTATGGTATAATTTTTATAATATTTAATTTATTTAATTGCAATTGCTTAATTGTGTCTGTTTTGTTAAATATGCATCATAACTGTTAATATTTATTCATTTCTTTGGTTACAGAAAACTCACTGTTTTGAACTACGCAGTTCCAGCGGAAGCAGCATGAATTATTATTTCAATTCATCACCATGAAAATTACAATTTTACAATTCAATTAAATTATTAGTTATTTAAAAACTTTGTACACTAGAATTACGACATTGAATGTATGAACAAATTAAAATATTAAAAAAACGTAATTCTTTATGTAAATTGTATGATAAAATGAGTCAATATATCAGCAATAAAGTTGAAAATGCGTCTTAATAAATATGAAATATGAAATCTCAGTTTTGACGAGATCATGCCACCTCCTTTGCTATTATATTCGCCTAATACAAAGTCTGAAGTTTGTTGAAATCTTTCGATCGAAATCCTGAAATTTCACAAAAAGTCTAAAGTAACAGTTTATTTGTTTCTTCCTTGCACACCAAATCCATTTCCTTTTGCAAAACACTCATTATTGAAATAATCCATTACAAAATTAAATTAACGAAGTCTAGGTAGCGATAGGAACGCGCAAAAGTCGAAAAAGTCGTAAAAATCTCGAGCGCCTGAGAAATGGTTGCCTTTACTACTTACTGAATTCGAGAATTTTAGTAAATATTCGGAACCGAAGCTAATTAGAAATGTCAACCATACCTCATATGTACATCGAAATTTGTTCGCGCCTCTGAAAAATTATGGACTCGTACTACTGAATTTCCTATTTTTCGCAAAGCTAATTAGTAGTGTCAGTCAATAATGTCTTAGACGCTCTAATTCTATATTTCCTGACAAGTATATGATATCCTGTCCTATACTTTATTTGTAGTTTCAGAATTACGTTTAGTTCTATTTTCAACCACTACGAATGTTGTAATCTTATTCTATGCTGAATCGGTAACATAGGTAGCGATACGAAAATGATAAGGGTCTTCTCGGCCCCAGAACCCCGGACAAGAAGTCCCATAAGATGTTAGGTCAATCTTGCACCTCATCCGTGCCCTAATCCACCACAATTTATCACATTACATCCAAATCTACTTTGACATATTCTTTACTATTAAAAAGATGAAAATCGTAACAATTTAATTTAAAACAGTCCCACCTCTAACGTATAGACAGTATGTAAAAGTTAACCAGTTCTAAGAAGAAGGGAGAGAGGCATAAAATACACTTGACACTAATTTTAGCTTTGCATTTTTTTTCTTTTGATCGAAAAGTTTATTTTAGACTCGTCCACGACGAGCTGAACCACACAGAAACGATTACATACACGATTAAAACGTATCATCTATATATACAACATGTATATCTTCTGTCCATGGGATTTTAGTCTGACCACCATGGTCAGCACACCCTACATGATCCTTATTCACAGGCACACTCTTCCACACAGCTAGAGATGCATGCACACACACTGCATAAAGTAACCCTCTGCTGATCTGAAAAAGATTCACACCACGGAATGTACCACAATGAAATAAAACTAGTCTTTTGTGGTCCTATTGTAGTCAACAATCTGATGACAATCTCTTCAGAACACTCAGCACCATAAGTTCTCATATCTCTCCTTACTTCTTTTCCTTTCAAATGATTCTAGTATTACCTGGAATCATTAGAAAAAAGTATTATTTACTGAGTTTTTATTTTATCAGAATAATAGATTCTAATTAGATGGAAATTTGTGTTAATTTAAGAAATTTAAGAAATTTGATCTGAAGAGTTAGATTAAATCTAAAGTGAATGGGAAAATATCTTGAATTTTAAGTGTGTGATTATATTAGGTATGTAAATGTATGAATATTAAAATGTACATGCTTTAAATAATACTTCTTTCAATTGTATTAAGAAAAAAATGTTACACCAATGAAAAGTTGATGATTAATTTAGAAACTCTCGAAAGTTACAAAAATTTCTGTTCCAAAGGCTAAACAATAAGCTCACCAAACGCTACACTTTTTCTCCGGATTCATTGGCGAGCCTGGAGGACAGTTGTAGGCCCTGGCAAAATCTTCACTATTGGACAAGGGACCCAGAACCCTTATGCGACCAGGAGAATGAACGCTACTACGTATTTTCGTGAGCGCATCCTCTGGTCTCATGGAACCACACCAAATTTGAGCATAGTTCAAAAAGAACAGCTGATCGTGAGTGAGATTCACACCAGGAAGCAGAGGTTCTTCTCCATGCTTTGATACCCACTTTTTGTATGCCTGAATCATATGAAAAAGAAAGTATTAATACAATTAGTCTTACATTACTAATTATACATTAAGCATTGCATTACTTCCATTAGAAAATTGCAATATGTTTGAAAAATTAGTAGAAAATTTCTCTACCCTAATCTTAATATAGTATATGTCTTTAATACTTGGAAAATTCATTTTTTTCGGACGGTTCTTGTTCAAGTTGAAATTCCCTTAAATGATTAATTTTTGCAAAATATCACCTGGTATATATTAAATAAATTATCCTTACTCTAAAAGACTGTTTAAGCCCTCCATTATCTGCAATATTCTCTCCTTGAGTCATCCTTCCATTAATATACTCATTGACTTCTTGCAATTTGTATCTGGAATATTGATCCACAATGCACTGAGCTCTTTGTCTGAAAGCTTTCACAGTGGCATTGTTCCACCATTGCATCATGTTGCCATCTTTGTCAAACTGGCGTCCCTTGTCGTCAAAGCCATGAGTTAGCTCATGGCCAATCACCACACCTATTCCACCATAATTCAATGATTTTGGAAAGTGCTGGGAATAGAATAGTGGCTGAAGAATTCCAGCTGGAAAGACTGGAAACAGAATAATCAAAGAGTACTGAGAAAGTTCAGGTTGAATCAAGCTTAAAACAAAATTATTATTATTATCATCATTAGTAATAATTTTCACATTTTAACGTGTCTTCAATTCATGTCCAATTTCTGGACTGAAGGAAATAATACATGGAAATAAATATGAAGAGTTTTTATGCTCTCATTTTTACTCTGTTGAAAAAGTTCCAAGACAAACTATGCTATAAAGATTGGAAGAACTGTTGGCATAAGTTTATTGCAACCAATGGGGATTATTTTGCAGGCGACCAAATAGATGTTGCTGGATAAATGAATAATTTCTATTTCATTAAAATTGTCCTGGAACTGTTTGAACATGAAGATGATGGGGCAAAAATTTACCAATGTCATTTTTGTTGGGATTGTAGAAGGCGTTCACGACAGCAGGATCTGTGGACCATTTGTCCTTATCAACTGGCTTCCGTAGTTTCTCTAGATTGTGATAAGCGTCGTACTTCATCACAGCCAGCACGTTCTTGAGGAAATGAGTCTCGGTAATGTTCAACTAAGAAACAAATGTTGGAGTTATAAAATTGTTTAAATTACAAGAATGGTTTCACATCAGTGTGAAAATTTATTTCATTTAACAAAATAATTAACTAAGACACAAATTTTGAATTATAAAGAAATTAACATAGAACTTTGTTTTATTTGATGAAATAATTAAGTACCATCACGTATTCCTTTGAAAGTTCTACCGGATCCTTCAGAAATTCAGGATATCCTATTCTTTCGTTCATAGAGTCAGCTTTACTTTTAGCCACAGCTCTGGTCTCGTCGTCCATCCAGTGATTCTCCGCCAGTAATTCGTTAAACGCCTCTCGTATTGTACGAATCATCTCGAGTGCCGTCTCCTGGGAAGTAATTCGTACTCCAGAATAATCGTTTACAATAATATAATAGTTAAAAATTTCAAAGGGTAATTTGAAAGAATAGGCTTGATCAATTTTTTAAACGCAGTCTATAGTAGAAATTGCATTCTTGATGTACCATTTCTTGACTCTGTGTGAAGAAATAATTTTTATTGTGTAACAATCTCTTACAATTAGTACAACAGGTACAAATGTGATTTTCAGCTTACGTTCAATTTATTGTTGTAAAAAATTGTGAAAAAAATATAGTATGCTCTAAATATAGAATTTGTTCAAATTTTCCCATTACACTTATGAACGACTATTTCTAATTCTTCAATTTTTTTCTCAAAAAATAGGTGAATGAAAATGTCACCTTGCTCTCGTGATTGAAGTTGTCGCGAATGAACAATGCGCCCACGGCCATGCCGAGTTTTTTGTTCGTCCACTCTACGCACTGGGACCACCTGTTCCTCTGGCTCAATATGCCCAGCAGGATCTTCTGAAATTCGACCCTTTTCTGTTGATACTCATCTATCATGTGGGGCATTATCGACATGACTAGTCTCCAGAGTATGTAATTATGCAATGTTCTGTAAAAGTGGTTCGAAATAAAAGAAAGATGACATTTCTTTAAAATTACAAAAAGAAATAGAGTTTAAATAAATTTTTCTAAATTTTAGTATTCGTTTGAAACAAGTATTTTTTTAATGATTACCTGCGATCTGTAGCATTCACAATACGGCCCATTTGCACGAAATAGGGCATGGCGTAAGCCACTATTGGCTCCTCTTCCGTGATTGGAGCGCTGATGAACTCTTGAAGGTAAGCACGCCACTTCAATTGCGGAATTTCACGCTGCAACTCACCCAGCGTCAATTTCCGGTAAATGGAGGAGGTGTCGTGCCTGTCTGCCTCCACCATGGACGCCTAAAATTTATTTACTTTTTTTTTCAATTTTGAAAAATTTAAGAAATTTGGTGAAATAAAATTTATCACAGTATTCTGTGGCCTAAAACGAGAGGGAAATGTCATATACACTTATGCCTTTAAGTACTTCCTTAAGAAGTTGCGAGAGAAATAAAATATGTGGGGGCAACTCGCAAGTTTAACTCTTAGGGAAATTTTCTTAGAGCAAAAATACACAAAGAATACTTTGCATTTGAAACGAATAATCTGAAATAATATGGAACTGTCAAGATTAAAAAATTTTTAAAATAAGACAGTTGTAGCACCCTATAAATTTCAAATTGCTGTAACTTTTTAACGAAGCATTTGATCACCCACGTTTATATAACATTATCCTCGTATTTTTATTCGTAGAATGCAGGGAAAAAATTTCGTCAAGAATAAATATTCTAACAATCGTACATTTGCGAGCTGTTTCTCCAACGTGATTACACATTTGAACTCTTCAGCGGCAGTCTCGGGATTAGCACCAAGTAACACGGCTACATTCGTCATGTAACGATGATACGCCTTTAATTGAGGCTCGCTGCTCTTGTTCAGGTAGTAATCTCTACTCGGTAAAGCCAGGTGCATTTGATCTAGCTGAGAGGAACAATTATTGGGCAATTTAATTAAATTTTCATTTAAACTCTGTTTAAAAATTGGACAAGAAAAATAGTTCCTAGTGTAGTTGAATAAATAGAATTCATCGTAGTTAACCCTCCAAGTGCTATAATTTATCACATCTGAGACAAAGGGTAAACATTTTCAAGGATAATTCAATTGTACGAATTGTATGAAATAATGATATAATATACACACACTGGCAGATAAAAGTTAGCAGGCCATTGCAAGCTGCGTGAGAGTTTTCAGAAAAGAAGCTAATTTGAGAAATTTTTAATTAATTTTTTATTACCCAAATTTGTCAAAAAGGAAGGTAATTGATTTCTATCGAAATATCTAATATTAATTGTAAAATCTGCGTAAATTGATAAATGGTTCCAAGCTTTCGTCAGATATGCAGTGTATTGTACAATTAAACACGTGAAAAGGAGAACGAAAAAATTCTCCTGACCTCATTTTCAGGAAACGGAGAATGCTAAGATTATTTTAAAATTGTCTGTAAATTTTTAGATAAAATAGGTAAAGAATCCTGTGTTAGGAAAGTGAACGAAGCCCAACTCAGACCGACCACTTTAGAACTATGTAGAGGGGTCATTTATAATGGTGGAGAAAAATGTTGAGAATGTATAATGAAGTTTTGTTTGCGCGAAGCCTCTGTTCCCGTGTGAGTTGAGGTTGCAAATTGATCGAGGTGTGGGACACGGTTGCAGTAACGGTAAAAGAACTTTTATATCGTTGAACGGTGATTTTTAAGTAGCAAGATACTTTTATTTCAGTGTTCATCTTTGAAACTCGAATGCACACATTGTTGCAGTCTCTATTCTCGAATGCAACATCGATGGAAGCACTATTTCGAATGCAAAACATTGTTGTACGCGTTACTTTTGAATGCAACATTGCTTGAAGCGTTATATTTGAACGCAAACATTGTTAGAATCTCTGTTTCTGATTGCAACATTATTAGACGCGTTATTTCGAACGCAAACATTATTGCAAGCACTACGCTTCAATGTAACATTGTTACAAGCGTCATTCTCGCTTGTAACATCGTTAACTCGTGTTATTTTCGAATGCACATTGTGGCAAACGCGTTATCGGGTTTGCAACTTTGTTGTCGCGAAAATTTCACATTGTTGCACGACGCCCCGTTTTGCAACATTGTGCATTTTTCGGGAGCGAAGTATCGCGACAACAAAGTTGCAAGCGCGATCTCTCCATTTGCAACTTTGTGTCTCGCGCGCGATTCGTGAAAAAGCACAATGTTGCAACAGCCTTGTCGGATTTGCAACTTTGTTGCCGCGAATCGTTCTCGAAAAACGCACATTGTTGCAAGACGCGCCGTTTTGCAACATTGTGCACTTTTCGCGCAAGTATCGCGACAACAAAGTTGCAAGCGCGATCTCTCCATTTGCAACTTTGTGTCTCGCGCGCGATTCGTGAAAAAGCACAATGTTGCAACAGCCTTGTCGGATTTGCAACTTTGTTGCCGCGAATCGTTCTCGAAAAACACACATTGTTGCACGACGCGCCGTTTTGCAACATTGTGCACTTTTCGCGCAAGTATCGCGACAACAAAGTTGCAAGCGCGATCTCTCCATTTGCAACTTTGTGTCTCGCGCGCGATTCGTGAAAAAGCACAATGTTGCAACAGCCTTGTCGGATTTGCAACTTTGTTGCCGCGAATCGTTCTCGAAAAACACACATTGTTGCACGACGCGCCGTTTTGCAACATTGTGCACTTTTCGCGCAAGTATCGCGACAACAAAGTTGCAAGCGCGATCTCTCCATTTGCAACTTTGTGTCTCGCGCGCGATTCGTGAAAAAGCACAATGTTGCAACAGCCTTGTCGGATTTGCAACTTTGTTGCCGCGAATCGTTCTCGAAAAACACACATTGTTGCACGACGCGCCGTTTTGCAACATTGTGCACTTTTCGCGCAAGTATCGCGACAACAAAGTTGCAAGCGCGATCTCTCCATTTGCAACTTTGTGTCTCGCGCGCGATTCGTGAAAAAGCACAATGTTGCAACAGCCTTGTCGGATTTGCAACTTTGTTGCCGCGAATCGTTCTCGAAAAACACACATTGTTGCACGACGCGCCGTTTTGCAACATTGTGCACTTTTCGCGCAAGTATCGCGACAACAAAGTTGCAAGCGCGATCTCTCCATTTGCAACTTTGTGTCTCGCGCGCGATTCGTGAAAAAGCACAATGTTGCAACAGCCTTGTCGGATTTGCAACTTTGTTGCCGCGAATCGTTCTCGAAAAACACACATTGTTGCACGACGCGCCGTTTTGCAACATTGTGCACTTTTCGCGCAAGTATCGCGACAACAAAGTTGCAAGCGCGATCTCTCCATTTGCAACTTTGTGTCTCGCGCGCGATTCGTGAAAAAGCACAATGTTGCAACAGCCTTGTCGGATTTGCAACTTTGTTGCCGCGAATCGTTCTCGAAAAACGCACATTGTTGCAAGACGCGCCGTTTTGCAACATTGTGCACTTTTCGCGCAAGTATCGCGACAACAAAGTTGCAAGCGCGATCTCTCCATTTGCAACTTTGTGTCTCGCGCGCTATTCATGAAAAAGCACAATGTTGCAACGGCCTTGTCGGGTTTGCAACTTTGTTGCCGCGAATCGTTCTCGAAAAACGCACATTGTTGCAAGACGCGCCGTTTTGCAACATTGTGCACTTTTCGCGCAAGTATCGCGACAACAAAGTTGCAAGCGCGATCTCTCCATTTGCAACTTTGTGTCTCGCGCGCTATTCGTGAAAAAGCACAATGTTGCAACAGCCTTGTCGGATTTGCAACTTTGTTGCCGCGAATTGTTCTCGAAAAACGCACATTGTTGCAAGACGCGCCGTTTTGCAACATTGTGCACTTTTCGCGTAAGTATCGCGGCAACAAAGTTGCAAGCGCGATCTCTCATTTTGCAACTTTGTGTCGCGCGCGCGATTCGCGAAAAATTTGGATTATATTTACGTATTTACTTATTACTTATTATCATTTATTAAGTAAGCAAATATTCTCCAAATTATATCGCGATTAGTATCATTTCAATCAGAAAAATGTGACAAATATGTTGGTAAAAATTTCATTCGTTAAAAATCAAAAATAAGAAAGTTTGATTTTCGAGTTAAAGATCTCAGCTTACACGAAATTTCCTATGAAACAGTATGCAAGACTGAAATATCATAAAAATGACAGATCTATCCAATAAGAGCTCTAGTGAAATCTTTTCCTTCGTGTTCTTGCTTGTTCAATCGTGCATTACAATAGAGGGTTTAGCACTGAAAGGGTTAAAAGAGAAGCTAAACAATCATTTGAAAAAATGATGTATATACAGCTATGGGTTACAATTTCGATGCAGTGCTGTGATTTTTATACTGTGCAGTCGTCGACCAAGGGGCCTTACTTTGCCGGCGCACCTGGAGGATGTTGGCTGAGGAATTCTTGTCATCTGGCCCGACCCACTGTTCCAGCAACACTCCCTCGTTGTATTCCCCGCGCAGTCGACCAAGGAGAACCTCTATGGAGTACGGTGGTGGCTCCCAGGATGGTCCAACCACCGCAGGCCAACCACCAAGGATCTTCAACGTCTCTCTTAGAGGGCTGTCACCGATTTCTCTTATATGAGCTGTGAAAATGAACAATTGGAAACAGTTTTCAAACTTTGAGGAAATTTCTAGTTTAACCCCTTGCCGTATGATAACGAGTCAGACTCGAGTCGCATATTTTGGTCAAGATCTGATAGAAACAGTTATATCGGTGACGAAAATTAAATTTAATTCCAATTTTCGATATATTTTCGAAAGTTGAAGATTGGCAAATTTAATGAATCTACGATACATTAACTTTTCTTACTTAATATAGTACTAAAGTAGTAAATAACTGACGCTTAGATGCACAGTCCGAAAAAGAAATCATACGTCAAGGGGTTAATAGGTACGAATGATTCGTTAAAATATTGTTTAATTGGAATAATTATAATAACGAGATTAGTAATTGTAGATATAGTTATATTAGGACTATATGGTTAATTTGTTAAAATTTGGTATGATTGGAATAATGATAATAATGATTAGGTCAGGTTAGGTTAAGTTAAGTTAGGATTAACGTTTGTTCGACTAGGTTATTTTACCTTGATTTTTGGCAAATAGAAGGCAATTGTTAAGTACTTTTTTTTAGACAAGATAACTTAAGTAATAATTTAACAATAAGTTACAATTTTTCATCTCAAATGATAACTAGTAATTCTAAGAGACAAATAATAAGTTCAAGTTGGACAGTAGACGAAATTTCTGAGCAACAAATCATTTCCTTTTATTTAGCGCAGTAAATAGTAATTCTAAAAACAAAATACTGATTTCATGAGTAATAAGAAACAACGGTAAATAATAATGTTTCTCTGGACGAATAAATAATAATTCCAAGTGAAAATCTGCAAAATTTCTACTCTAGTTATGAAGCATACCCGTTAGTTACTTTTTGGTAACTTGGGGTATGAAATTAACCCTTTGACTGCTGGCAACTCAAAAGTAAAGCACTGGCTGTGAACGACTGAGTTATGGCATTAATAGTCACACTACATATTTCGTTAGCCAAATCATTTGTTGCTGACTATTTTGTATTTTATATTTGTAAAATGAGTAATATGTAAATATAAAAAAATTGAATATGAATACGAAGAGCGCTGATAGTATCCAACGTTCGTTTATCACTGAGGGTCTATAGGCGCCGATAGCAGTCAAAGGGTTAAAGAGGGAAACAAAGGAAATTCGGGTTCTGAGATGATTTCCATTGTACCCACGGATGTCCATGCACGATCTGTAGAACATCTTCGCCTTTAAAGTGGCATTATTGTCCCTTTGATTCGGTGGTTCCTCCAGAACACGTTTCAGGATCACCTGCAGCTGATCTGCCAGCACCTCGAACGTACTGATCGAGGATCGATCCTCTGGGATCACGTGAAGACGATTCCAGGCGCCACAGGCGTACTGGAAAAAATTCACGCAGGGGGAAGCTGTTCGATCCATACCTGACAGAAGACTGGCGGCTGAAAATACCCACGACAAATATTTTATCATCCTATTCTTGCTGCAGACCGTGACTACAAATGACTATATGTGATTAGAACTGGCTGCAGATGGTTAAGATGAGTTAGGTGTGGATATGAGGTGACTATGAGGTGTTTGTGGGGATTCTGTATCATTATGGTGACTATAAGCGTACCAGATTGTGAATATATTTGACTATAAAGTGCTACAAATGGCCACAAACAATAATAGCGTGGTTATGAGGTGACTATAGTCTCGTATTGGTGGTACACAGCAACTTATAGTCAGTGCAGTAATCGATAGTCACAGTAAATATCTTATAGTCACGTCAATTTGATTTGTCAGCTACATGTAACTTAACACAATCACTTATAGTCACTTGCACGGGCCATACGAGTGATTATACACGAGTAAATACTTTATAGTCACATCATATTGATTTGTCAGCTACATGTAACTTAACACAATCACTTATAGTCACTTGCACGGGCCATACGAGTGATTATACACGAGTATATACCTTATAGTCGCATCATATTGATTTGTCAGCTACATGTAACTTAACACAATCACTTATAGTCACTTGCACGGGCCATACGAGTGATTATACACGAGTATGAACATGATATTAAATTATATTAATTAATAATGTAATATGACGTGACTATAAGGCTGTCACAGGGACCAGTGGTTGCTATAGGTCACAGTAGTTGACTATAAAACACCTATCAGTCTGACTATAAAGCGTGTATTGGTCCATAATATCTTTGTACATGACTAACTGTGACTATAACGTGCTTCTCTACAGTCGTTTAATAACTTCCAAGACTATAACGTAATTGTAACGTGACTATATACCGTTACTGCAAATATTTCAACGACCATGACACAAAAATTTACGTACCGTTAAGCACTAAATTGATTCTTATTTTACGTCCGAGTGATTCAACCCCTGCAAAGAGTGACTATATTGGCAACGAGCACCGGGCAAATATTAAAATTGTCACGCGGCAATATTGAAATCTTAATGCACGCCCGCCTCGATATGAAAGATGCCGTATTTATGTCTCTCTTTCACCTCACGGGAAATAAAATTGCGTCAGCGTTGAAATAAAATCGCAAATTTCGTTCGTACGTGTTCCCATAAGATCGTATTGACAACACAGGCTGATATTAAATTCTGAAGCTGATATCAGCTTCGGTAGCCTTACGCAAGAACATAAAATTGCGCTGTCACGGGCAGGAAATTGAATTTCAGCTGAGAGGCGAGGCAAGAGAAGCGTCAGAGCTAATAAGATTGAAATATTACAAGAAAAAGAGGGAAGAGAAGAAACTCGAAGAGCTTATTCAACACGTAAGTAGTCATCACTCTGCAAAACTGCTCTGTATAATTTCACACTCTATCAACAGGTTGTCAGTTTTTTTTCCATTTTCCAACGTTTCGACAAATCCTTCTGAAAAATTCCAACAAAATAATCGTCCAAACGAATCGTTAAATTTTCGCAGAGAAAAG